TGCTACAGCTGTTAAATAGACCTACTGTTCACCATAGGGCATTTTTGCCCAAAACTGGAAGTATATGCCATTTTTTTTTGACAAAACATCATAAATTGTGGTCATGTGACTTTGGGATGATGCAAACAACTGGAAGTGTGGACTGGTTGCCAAATGAAGGTGCGTGATCATGGGGGGCGGGAGGGGGGAGTTGTTGGATCTCCTGAACCATGTCGTACCTTTGAAGGGATCATTCATAACATCTTAGCAACCAGTTGTAATTTGAGGACTGTCTGTAACTCAAAATATACTGCACCAGAATTGTACAGTGGTTCAAGAAATATGTGGTTTCTGTTTTCTGTAGGACTCTAAAAGTTTCTTTAATTCTTTGAGAATATATTTCCTGACAAGTTTTTTCCTCCCAAACCATTATACTCAGTTACTCTACTTTAAATTCTCTCTGACAAATACTGTAGCTATTGAAGGCAAACTATGAACCATATCCAGAATGAAATATCAGAGCAAAATATCAAAATGTAAGCTACTATTAAGTAGGGGGCTACCATTTGTCTCTTCCACTTCTAGTTATTTACATTGGGGGTGGCCATTTTTTGGCAGGCAATGAGATAAAAAGCCACAGGGAGAAGGCACATGATATATGCAGATGGTGGTAGTTTGGAAAAAAATTGATGTGCATCAGTGGTGGGATTCATAACTTTTTACTATTGGTTCTGTGGGCATGGCTTGGTGGGCATGGCGTGGCCCGGTGGGCATGGCAGGGGAAGAATACTGCAAAATCTCCATTCCCTCCTGACCCCACTAACCTGCTTTCCAGCTCCGTTTTCCTATGCAGGACAACAAAAGAAGACCCAGCCGATCAGCTGGGACTCGGGAAACAGAGAATAGATGGGGGTGGGGCCAGTCGGAGGTGGTATTCGCTGGTTTTCCAAATTACTCAACATTTCCACTACCACTGAATACTACCTCTGATCTGCATGTGTTACAGGTAGTCCTCAATTTACAACCACAATTGGGTCCAGAACTTCTATCACTAAGTGATATGGTCACTGAGTTCTGCCCAATTTTACAATCTTTTTACTGTGGCCATCAAATGAATCGTTGTGGTTGTTAAGCAAATCATGTCATTGTTAAGCAAGTCTGTCTTTACCCATTGACTTTGTTTGTTGCAAGCTCTCTGGGAAAGTTGCAAATGGCAACTATCTGACCCCAGAACATTGCAACTGTTGTAAATATATGCCAGGTGCCAAGCATTCAGATTTTGATCATGTGACTGTGGGGATGCTCCACTGGTGATAACTATGGCTGGGTTGTAAGTCACTTTTTTTCCACTGCCATCGTAAGTTTGAACAATTGTTAAATGAACAGTCATAAGGTAAGGACTACCTGTATGTCAATTTTAAGGCTTAGGCTTCAAATTGCCACCACAGGCTAGCAGGAAACTCTTGTGTTTTTCATGAATCATGACTGTGATGACCCAGAGCGTGGCACAAAAGCAACACAACCAGAGAACAGTCTAACTCCCCTTTATTACTCCAACTATGCCCCCAAACATTCCCACATTCACTATAAGTCCTGGAGCCAAAGCTCTCACATGCACCTTCAGAAGCCTCTGGCTGTGAATAGTCCACTAAGCCAGGTTAGCCACATAGCAACCTGGGCCAGCAGTCCAGTAATCCAGGTTAGCCCAACATTAACCAGGGCCAGCAGTCCAATAAGGTTAACCAAACAGTAACCAGAGCAAGAAGTTCGGTGAAGCAGGCAAACTGGCAAGCCCAAGACAGAGCACAACAACCTCCAGGTGTTGGCAAGTGCATGAGGTTCCACAGATTCAACGCTCGTTCCCAGCAAATGCCCCTCCCACCGGCATCTCCTTACATCTCAGTCCCCAGGTGTGCCTTGTGAGAGGGGGCGGGGCACCCTCCTCCCTTATCAACGCTCAATCTGCGTTGATCTTGCCATCTCTCCTCGTTGCTATCAGATCAGGAGAGGATAGTCCTTGCTCTTCTCCTGAGCTCTGCAGACCTTACTAATTCAGAAATGTCTTGCCTGGACTGACTCTGCCCTTCCCCAATTTCCTCCAAGGCCAACGGAGCCGCCCTCTCCATCTGTTGGCTCTTGTTCTAGCTCATCTTCCCCCACAGATTCAGACTCCAGTGGGGGCATGACAATGACCATGGTATGTCAGCAGGCCTGGGGGTCCCAGGGGAGTCTGAAATTTTAAGATGGCTTCATCATTATTAATATCTACTCTCTTCTGTGCCTGGTGGTTTATGTATGTTTACATTAATGATGGTTTTATATTTTATAGGAGTTGTGTTGGCTCAGTGGCTAGAATGCAATACTACAAGTTACTTCTGCTGACTGCCAGTGATTTGGCAGTTCGAATCTCACCAGCTCAAGGTTGATTCAGCCTTTTATCCTTCCGAGGTGGGTAAAATGAGGACCTAGATTGTTGGGGGCCATATGCTGACTCTGTAAACTGCTTAGAAAGGGTAAACCACTGTGAAACCGTATATAAATGCTATTGCTTGCTATTTTGAATGATTGTTTTATGTATTTGTTTTATTTCATTCTGTTAGGCTGCTCAGGGTTACTTTATGTAAGGTGGGGGAAGGCTATATAAATTTAATTTAAAAAAAAACAAAAAAAAAACATAGGGCCATAAAAAGGACTTAAGAAATATGCAGGATAGATATATGAACCTCTTGTCAGAGGGACAAAATTTGAAATATATGAACAGAAATGAAACCACTTATTTTCAGCGGGCAATGTGCATTTCTTTGGGCATGTAGCAATTACAAATGAAGGGAGAAAATTCTTTCTATTTTGATCAGTAAACAATAACATAACTCTGGGACTCATATTTGTGAAGAGAAACGAAACATCTTTCATCTAATTACTTTTAGTGAAATTGAAACATTTCCCCCATCCATCACATTGACATACTTTAAATTTATTAAATCAGCATATACCCTCTAATCTATTTTAAGATTATTGCAAATGGTAGACTGTAGGGATTTATAACTCACAGTAACAACCTTCCTCCTACTTTTCTTTCCTCCCTCCATCCCTATCCAGGGCAGGAAAGTTTCAGTATAAATAATGAGTATTGGGAGATTAAACATCTTCAGTAATGAACTAAATGTATTTCATAAAGACAGGGCTGAATTGAGCTCAGTTCCGGGTGAATACATGGACGTGTCCATCTAATCATTTTGGTAATAGTAATGAAAGGATGTGTCATTATGTTCTTCCAGGATATCTGTGTATTTCCTTCCTTATCTATCTTGTGTAATCTGTTTAGTTTGGTCTAGAGGCCTGGGATGCTTGGTCGTGTCTCCCATCCAAGTAGTAACCAAACCTGATTCTGTTTAGCTTCTGAACCCAGACATACTGGACAGGGGTGACACCTGCTGAGATTTATCAAGTACACTTGTTGTCTTGTTCTGTGTAGAATAACGATCAAGTTAGAAACAGGAGCATGCTTGGTAGAGATGATACATTACAAAAGTGCACAAACTATGTCCTTCTAAATATTAGGCTACAAATGCTACAAATTATCCTGATTAAGTAGAATGAATTGCAATCCAGCCACATCTGGGAGGTCCAGTTCTCCATTCCTAACATCAGAGGTATTGGGATGCTCATTATTATCCAATCTTACTCTACATAATTATAATCATGAGGGATACAAAACCAGTTCAATCAAACTAATGGCTCAGGTTATTTAGCATACTTTTCTCACAGTAGACAATCAAATATTTCCAGGAAACTCATCAACAAAGCTAATCATAATACCGATATATCTATTTGGCTACATGGGTTTGTCAGCACTTTACTTCTTTTCCGATGACTATGATCCCACTTTTAGTAGCACCCTATCCCCAAATTAGTGCATTGTAATAGAAGAAGTACATCCTTTTAATCTGTACCCTGAGTTTACCATCAAAGAATTTTATTGGATGGCAATGAGAACCAGGTGTGGAGAGGGAAATGGGAGAGCAGGAAAGGGAAGGAAAATATTTTTACCATCCTATACATCATGCATAGATTTGTTAAGAGTTGGGAGTGCAAAATCAGCCATAGAGAATTATTTAACATGATCATGACTTGTGCTCCATTCCTTCTTCAGCACATCAGCCATTACAATCTCTCCTATTTATCTTATATCAATTTTGGATCAATTTAAAATCTTTCTAGCGTACGCTGGTAGCTTCCATGGTTTCCATCAGACAGACATTTATAAGGCAAGTTAGAAGTTCTTTCACAATCTCAGTTCTGTGGAAGCCATTGCAAACATTATTTGCTATAACTTTATAATCAGTATTTCATTTCTTTGGCAATCTTTGAAGATAAATTATGAATCAGAACACTGAAATGTCTGGGGGAGATAACAATACTGAATATGAAAAAGTTAACATACAGCGTGGAAATATTTGGTTGCATGTAGACTCAGGATAGGTGGTGAAGATTAGCTGCAGCTACTGAATGTCAGCTGAAATAAAGCTGTTTTTAAAAGTATAATTTGCATATTTATTAGATTCTAAACTTGAGTTTCCAGCCCAGTCCAGGTACTTGGATATCCGCCTGTAAATTACACTGTGGGATGTGGGATGCTAGGACTATTATTGCCAGTACAATACTCAGATTGAAAGCTTGTGTTGATGAATCTACTTCCTTTTGTTGCATTGAGGGAATGGAATACAGATGGAACCTTAAACTATTTTGTCCATTTTGCTCCAGATGTCTCTTGGCAGATTGAGATTTGAATTACCATAGTTATAATGTATACTGGCTTGGACGAATGCTGAAAATCCAGATGCATAAGGTCAATGCGTATTCTGCAATGGCTCAGGAAGAAGTTACTTCATACATGCTTTTGGAACATATCACTTTTAATGAATAAATCCATAATGGTGCATAAAGGTTTTGCTGATCATCATGCTACCAATTTGCCTTTTTTTTTTTTGACACCAGATAAGTCTTCAATCCCCAATCATTCAGTAGACTGGAAGGATGTTCCTGGTGAGATCTTCATCTCTCTGGTAAACTTCACTGAAAGCATCAGATTCTTGGCTTGGGTAATTCTCAGATTCCTCCAGTTCCTTCTTGTCACTGTTTCGCACAGCAGCTTCCAGGGCCTTTTGCAGGCGGTAGAAATGGGAGAACTTATTGAAGATGATAGTGATAGGCAGTGCCACAACCAAAATCCCACCCAGGATGCAACCAGAAGCTGCTAGCTTGCCGGCGACAGTCACTGGTACCACATCCCCATAGCCTACAGTTGTCATGCTAACTGTTCCCCACCACCAGCAAGCGGGAATAGTGTCAAAACCAACGTCTTCCTCCTTTTCTGCAGTGTAGGCTACTCCAGAGAAAACAGACACCCCAACAGCCAAGTATAGGAGAAGAATTCCCACTTCTCTGTAGCTATGCTGAAAAAGAAAAGATAAAAAAGAAAAAAAATATGGAGGTAGGTAGTCAAGATCAATAACTAAAAATAGTATGAAAAGAGACCTCATTGTTTCAATGCTGGGTTTTCTACCCTTTGAGTTTTATCCCTTACTGTTTCTACAATATCAGACCACAGTTGACTAAGATCATGACTGAAACTTAGAACAGAACAATATTTTGCCTTAGCACGTATAGCATGAAACAAGAGTATTTTAACACCATCATTATTTATCAATTTTATTTCAATGGTATGTGCATAAGCACATCTGAATTAATGCCTTCCAGATGCTTGGACTGCGATTCCTATTACCCTCGGTCAATGACCCATGCTGAAATCAATGCAGATTGAACTCCAACTATTGCACATAGCTAGTGTTCATTTATTGTAGCAGGTAATAATATTCCAGAGTTTGAGGAAGAGATTACTTGCAGGTAGACTCTAAAACATCAGCATTCAAAATAGAGATACCCCTTTAGTGAGTTGCATTAACAAAAGGAAGCCAGAAGATCTTGCCTATATCATCAATTCTACTGCTAATATCACTATTTCAGAGCCAAAATTGAGAGATAAGGGAAACAAGATAAATTACAATTGACTCACATTGTCTTTGCAAAGAAGAATGTCATACAAAATAAGGTTTAAGCACCTTCTCACGATGTTTGACCTGTACTTACCACTTCATCTCATATAAGCATTTTTCTTAGTATGTGTAGTTGCACCTTTATAACGTGACTCCAAAAACATACTTAAAATCACTGTTACACAAACTGCACTGCTTACCAGTTTTCAGGAGCCCATTAAATTGGGGGTGCCTGATGGGACAGAGAATATTCTCACCCCCAGGCTCCCATCATCTTGGTTTTCAATTTTTGTTGTATTTTGTTTTTTTGTACTTTGTAAATTTTATAATATTGTAAACTGCCCAGAGTCACTGTATTAGTAAGATGGAGATCAAAGGTTACTGATCTCCAGGCAGAAGTTACTTTCTAGGCTCCATCCATTCCTATTACTTTCAGCCCTGAAGAGCCTGGGTTATGACAGTAACACTGTTTTTTCACATCGTTACAAGTTGTACAATGGTAATATTTGAAATTACTTGTAGTGTGTGAAGGTAGCTGACATTTTTATAGTTTAAACAAATGTAACATACACCCACCTTTCTTTCCTGTTGTTTTGAGATTAAAATGGGGATATGTTTTTCCATTGCAAGGAAGCTAACTTTATTAGGGACAGATAACATTTCTTTTTATTAAAACTGGATTGTCAGTGCCATGTTAATGTCCCACATTCAGTTAGCTTGTTCATCACTGCTGCTCTGTGCCACTTTACTTGGGAGTAACCTTTAACAAATTCATTTGGTCTTACTTCTGAGCAGATATGTATAGGAGTATGCTATGATTCTCACTTATTTAAGTGGGATTTACACATTCTAACTGAATGGAGGATTGAGGCCCATATGTTCCCTACGGCACCACTTGATATATTCTTGTCAAGCAAGGCAACTTTCCAGATCAATGACCTTTTTAGCATGTCTCAGAATATAAAACAAAACATTTTTCTGTGTAACATTTGTGGGACTAATGCAAACTCTCCAGATAAGATAACTTATTAATGCTTTGGTGCTTCTTTGGTTCCCAAGGACAGAATGTGGTGATGGCAATAATCACTCTAATATCTGCTTTTAAGGACAAATGCTGTTGCTGAACTCTAGACTGGCGCCATCAGTCATATCTCAAGTTTGTATTGAGTCAAGATCTGCATCTGGCAGGGAGAAGACAGATGTCTTAGTGGCAAATAAATATCTTTCATTAGCCTATTTTATAGATTAAAAGCAGACACATAAAACGGGGATGTCTACTCAGTGCCTTCAGAATGCAATATGATCCCTACACAGCTGCAAGTAAAATCAAGACATGTACTGATTTCAGATTTAGCATCTATAGTTTTACAAGAGATAAATCACAGAGGAACAAATGTGTTTCTGTTGTCCCCTTCCACGGGCTTCCCCTTTTCCTGGATCAAATCTGGCAATCTTTCTCATGGTCTATCCCTTTTATGCAATGTGATTGAATATCCACAGCCAGTTCTCAGGACACGGGATCAGAAGAAGCAGGTCCTGAGCCAGACAGAGGTATCAAGCTTCTTTAGTTGCTATGGTCCCAAACAAAAAATTATTTATCACAACTGTGATAAATGTCATTGGAGATTCCTTTCTTTGTTGTTGATAAGTAGTCCGTCTTCTGCCTTCCTTGCTTTCCCTGTAGCATAAAAATCACAACCACCATCAAAGCATGTGATTAGGGAAGATAGAAGAAGCGTTTTAGAAGAAAGCTGCAATTATCCTGGCAAACCACTTTCATGAGCCCTTCAGCTCAAGTCTTCAATCTTAACAAGGTTTTAGGAATCCCAATCTTAATTTGCTTGTTTTTTTATTTACACACAGACATTTCCTTTAGCATATGTATAAGAAATCCAGGCTCAGAGTTGATTGTATTTGTAACTCCCAAGACCTTTTTGGACAAAAATCTGCTATTTGTCCCCCAAAAGATATCGAACTATAATTGTTCTGAGGCCCAGCAGGAAGATCGAGACAAGCTGTTGCTGGAAGTGAGGCTGATAGAACCAAGGCCATTGACAAAAGATGCCAAGATGATCGATCAATGTTAGGCAGGCATGGTAGGTAAGAAATGGAAATTCCTTTTCAAAAATATGCAAGAAGCCCAGTAGATAGACTCAATCCAGAGCAGAACAAGGACTGTCAGAGCTGGCTATTTATAGGCATGGCACAAGTGACAAATAGAAAGAGACAACATAGTATAGTCAGGCACAAAATGAAGCTGTCAAAGAAAATGACAGTCTACAGACAGCCTAGGCAGTCAAAATGTATTCATTAAAGTATACATAAGAAAGAAGCAGAGAACATGGCTAAGTTGCAAGAAGGGAAAATAATATAATTAGCTAAGTCCAGTACTCTGAATGAAGAGAAAATGATGTGCACAAAAGAATTAGGCATATACTGAAACATGCAGTTTACACTTGGATAGAATGGGTTGCAGGCCTCTGGATCAATAATACATTTCCCACTTTTTAGACAAGCCATAACATTTATTTTCATCCTTTCACTTCACTGGCTGCTTGAATCGAAGTGAAAGCAATAAACCAAAGCATTCTTACAACATTAAGGCAGCAATAAGAAATGCCCAGGAAGCAGATGCTCTATGCATGATGCATACTCTCTACTTTCTCTACCAAGAAGCCTGTGGTTTGATCTCAATATGCCAATGGCATCTCCAGCTCTCCTGGTGTCTCTACTGAAACAGTTTGGATTATTCGATGAAGCCAAGCATAATATATTCATTAGTGATAGCAATTTAACTGTTTCTTTATGAAGCCATTTCTTAGTAAGGGAAGGAAGTGGGCTGCTCTCTCCTAGCCCTATATCAGGGCTGTCAAACTCGCGGCCATGGGCCGGATGGGTCACACACTGGCCACACCCATGCCTGGTTTAGCAAAGGGGAAAAAAAGTCATGATATGTCACATGGCACCACTGTGATGACGTGAGTTTGACACCCCTGCCCTATATAATCAAAACAAACCTAACAGCAAACCAAAGCTCTCCTCTTGATCACCTACTACAGCTGGACCATACGCAAGTATCAGTGCTGAGATGATTGCCTAGGTCTAATCAAGATTCTGTCTGTCTTACTACAGGAAGGGGAGCTTCCTTCAAATGAGACATTGATCCGATTTGTACAATGCCCTAGTAGTCTATAATTCGTTTAACAAAGGTTTACTAAAACTGGATTGCTTAAGTTCATATTATAAGCAATATTACCAGCATGTGTTTGTCAGCAAAATGATGAGGTTCTATACATAACATTAAATTATAGTCAAATACACCATAATTTTGCTTAGTGCTGGGTGTGAATTTAGTTACTGGAGAGAGAAAAGAAGAAAGCAAAAAGAGCATTTTTGTTGTTTTAGTACTTTAACATTATGTGACAGTGGTTTGGGCAACAAATTATTACCCAAACACCCAAATCTGTTTTCTCTTACTGTTTTCTCTTTCTCATATACCTCATACTCTCTCTCGTAATCAGTTCTTTTATCCAATGGTTCACATTCCACAAAACCTTTGACTTAAAACCTGTAATTCAGGGATAGGCAATACAATATCTTTAGAATTTACAACTCCCATCAGCTTAGTTAACATGGTCAATGATTTCTGACAGCTGCCCTTCAAAGCATCTGGCAAGCCTTTGGCTGCTTACTTGATCTTTAGTTGTAAATAACACATGAGATGACATTTAGCTTTATCTAGCTACATTTATGTATGTTTATGTCAAATCTATAGACTTAAACTAGTCATAATGCATTTTCCAAAGTGCAAACATTGCCTGGTACTTAAAAAGACAACAAGGTAACTCCAACCAGGTCCAGGAGAAAAGCCTTTTCTGTGGTGGGCCCCCCTCTGGAATACTTTCCCAGCAGAGGTAAGATCTGGCCTCACATTCCTGGTTTCCTGGAAGAGCCTAAAAACTTGGCTCAGCTGTTTGGCCTGCTACATTAGGGCTAGCTGACAGCTTAAAGAAGATGCTCATCCCCAGGCTGCCCGTCATCTTGATTCTTAACTTTGAGTCTTTTTATTCTAATTTTAATTGTTTTTGCATCTTTAACTTTTATTACATTGTAAGCCGCCCAGAGATGCTAGTGAGATGGGTAGCATAGAAATGTAATAAGCAACCTTTTTTTTTGCATATTACATCTTCCTGGGAAGGAAATTCAATAACTGGGATGTTACAACGAAGAGAATGACATTTATCCTATTATCCTTAGCATCCTTTTCTCTTCTATCAACTTTCTTCCCCCAATATTTGAATTTATATTGAAACCATTGATTATGTAAATACTGCATCCTGATTAGGGTTGGGAATCAACGTACTGCACCCCTCTTGTAATGGCATCCTTTCTTATACGAC